ACATCAACCTCATAAGGCCAATCTAGGGAATAAGAAAAGAGAGGTTCCTCAGGGATCAGCATAGATCTACCTCCTTTCTTAATCCTTAATCTTATAGGAGGGACCTCTGCATGCTTTTAGCCCTTCAGGATTTTACTGATGTGTCTCCATCACATTATTTGATATACTAATTCTATCAGATTTGTTAGGTTTTCAAGCCCACAGACAATTAAAAGGAAGAGGAATGGCCGATGTAGAAATGATACTATTCTAGGAAGAAGAAAACTACCCAAAAAAATCCAGAAGTAAAAAAATTCTAACAGCATAGCAATATAGTAACACAGCTTAAACAGCAACCTCAGAACTTTTGTGGCCAAACATGATCCATTGATTAGTGAAGGAAGAATAGATTATATTTAAAGTAATGTTAAATTATAAGTTTTGACATTTAATTGACCTTTAATCAACTCACTAATGTGAAACATATGACATGAAAGTCTTATATTTTAAAATAGTTTAGTCCATATTTATTTTGACCTATGAAATCCACGATGCTTATTTAAGAGTCAGCACTTACCATAGCATGTCTTGAGCACGCAGGGGGCACAGAGTGTAGTAGGAAAAGAAGGCATATGGTCCCTGACCTCTAGGAACCTGCCTCCTGAGAGGAGACTGAGCCTGAAGTAACAAGCCATCATAAGTTTGTGTTTCAAACTGTGGAAGAGTAATTTGATCAGGGGCTGTAAAGCCTTCTTAGGGGAGAGGTGAATGTGAAATGAACTCAGCAAAAAAAAAAAATGGGAAAGATGCATATCTATAAATATATATTAAACCAAAAATATTGCGGCTGTCTCTTCAATTTACTGTTGAAAGAATATTCAGCTTATGCCAAAAAAAAATCCAAAAGCTAATAGGATGTTCTTTAAAGCAAGCACAACACCTCATCTGGTAAAAGCCTGGCACAATCACTTAAAATCTTGCCAAGGACCTTCCATTTATTCTGGAAGGCCATAATCTGTGACTGGTGAAAAAGAGGAAATACTTTACTTTCATGTTCTTCTTTTGTTATGTCCAGATGCCTGTGATGACCTACTAACATTCCAATCTATGAAACCCAAGGGTTATCCGGAACCCCCTTATCATCCAGGGGACACAGTGGAATATGAATGTCGCCCAGGATACAAGCATCGTTTTCCTGTTCTTTCCATCTCTGCTGTTTGCCAGCCTGACGACACATGGGCACCTCTCCAGGAGGCTTGTACAAGTGAGTACACGACATTTTTATTTTTATTGCTCTAAAGATTTTCACACATTGTAGACTCCGTATTCCACTATTACCATGATGGCTTTCTCATGTGGATGTCGATTTTAGGTAGCACTGTATTTTTGCAGGCCTTGAAAGTCTCCTGGAAATTTTTTCTTTGGCTGTTAATGCTCTGGGTAAATGTGAATCTTAAGTTTGGCCATTAGTGGCAACATGGATGGACCTCGAGAATATTATGCTAAGCGAAATAAGTCAGTCAGAAAAAGCTAAAAGAACCGTATGATTTCACTCATATGTGAGATACAAAACTGAAACTCATAGACACAGACCACAGTTTGATGGTAACCAGAGGGGAGAAGGGGGGTTTTTGGAAGTAGTACAGGGTAAGGGGGACTAAATTTATGTGACAGAAGATGGTTTGACATCGGGTGGTGGGCACACAAAGCAATATATAGATCATGCATCATAGAAATGTACACTTGAAGCCTATGTATGCTTATTAACCAATGTCACCCCAATAAATGTAATAACAATAAATACGAAGAAAAATATTTCTATCAATTTAATAGTGCAGTGTAGAATTTGTATTTTTATTCAAATTGGTTTTGAAATTGGTATCAACAAATGTGAAAATTTTCCTTTTAGAAAAGTCATGTCCACAGCTAGAAGAACTACTAAATGGACAAATAAAGTACAAAAATGGAAATCTGGAGTTTGGTACGGAAGCTCAGTATGGTTGTAATGAGGGGTAAGTAAGCTGCTCCTTGGAGAAGGAAGGTGAATGTTGCTGGTTCCATTTTTGGTTTGGTTCTCTTCTCAAGCGTTTCCATGATGTTGATCTCATCTTGCTTTCTGTGGAACAAGTTGTACTTACAGCCAATTAACCCTTGGGCTTTTTATGGAGACTGAAAAGCTGTGCAATAAATAGAAAGAAATTTAAATTAAAGAAAGACAAAATTGTATCATACTATCCTATATAAGAAAACCCTAATATGCAAATCGACCAAACAGTGGAACGACCGGTCGCTATGATGTGCACTGACCACCAGGGGACAGATGCTCAATGCAGGAGCTGCCCCCTGGTAGTCAGTGCGCTCCCACAGGGGGAGCACCAGTCAGCCAGAAGCCGGGCTCATGGCTGGCGAGTGCAGCAGCAGTGGCAGGAGCCTCTCCTGTCTCCACTGCAGGCAGGCGGTAAGGAGCAAGGGGTTCCGCACAGGCTGTGAGGGACACCCCCCAGTGCACGAAATTTCATGCACCGGGCCTCTAGTAAATAATGATAAGTCTATTTAGTCATTAAAAAAAATTTCTTCCTACTCACATTAGAAAGAATACATGAAAGAATA